CCCCCCCTCGCCCCCCCTCTGGCCCGCCGATGGTCGTATAGATAATCAGTTGTCAGAAAGGATCATAGATTATGATTATTTAACCGTTTATGAGTTAATTAAGTAGAAATAAATTAATTGGTCCACCCCTACTTTATACCTGTATTTCAACCTCCGAAGTGATACAAAAATGGACCAATGAAGTTACAGAATTCATTTCCTCATTTTCTTCGCTACTCTCAAAGAGAAGCCCTTGGTTACCTGTACCAATGTTGGGTTAATGGAGTACGGTCTATCATTCTAGTATAGGTAACCAAGGGATTCTCTTTGAGAATAGCGAAGAAAATGGGCAAATGAGTCCTGTAGTCCCATTGGTCCATTTTTGTATCACTTCGGAGGTTGAAATACAGGTATAAAGTACTCTATTAGAAGTACAAGTACAAGTACTTGTACGTGTACTTTGTGTAGGTGTACTTGTCCTACCTCTGGAGAGAAAGAAATCCACAGTAGCGTAGTCTCCACGGACTCTGTAAAAAAAATCGGCTCATACTGAACCTTTTTTGGTTTTAGCAAAAAAATTTAGAACCTAAAATGGTTTTAGCCAAATGTGCCGAACTAGAAAAGGTTTCAGATTTCTTTGCTAGAACCCAAAAGGTTCTGAAGATGGTACCCAAATCTAGAACCATAAAAGGTTTCATCTAGCGTCTAAAACCTTTTATGGTTCAGTATCGCCCGGTTTTTTTTAGAGAGTAGATACGATAGAGAGGGGAAAGGAGATATAAACTGTATCCGGCAGGTCGCGCTCACCGTCGACCACCACGACGTAAGAGAAAGAGGAAAGAAGCTACCGATAAGTTAGTTTTCGCACCAGTACTAATTTTGTTTTAGTCTCCTTGATTCATTCTAACTATCTATTAGGCAATTGAAGAATCTTCCCGAAATGTCTGATCGTTCATGTCCATGTGGTGCTCGTTTGAATCGGTCAACCGCAGTGAGATCACCGGGGTCGCCATTTTTTCGTATGTTCATTTCAATTCGAACGATGAAAACACTGACAAGTGCGACCAAGGTGTGCAATATCAGTCGTCATTTGTACAACAAATGACGAAGAGAAAATCCAGAATTCAGTAACATGGTAAATAACATGGATAGCGATGATTCCGAGATCGAAACGATTGATACAAATTCGGTAAGAAAGAAGTTACACTTTTTTTGTTTTTCCAACGTCGTTAATGCTTTTCCAGACTGATTCGACAGATAGATTTTCTGAGAGTGATTGTGACAGGACAACAGTGAACAGTGCAACGACAGCAACGAAAACAATCACTTTGCAGATGAACGCTACAGGATCATCTCATGAGTAAGCACAATATGATTCTTTTTTGGGATCGACTGACGTTTTATTTTAGAACGCACTGTGTATGTCGGTCTCATCTCGTCGTAGGTTCGGTCGTTGTTCCTTTGGAAGATCGAGATGTCGTGTTTTTCGCGCGCAACATATGGATACCTGAAGGAGCGAGATGTTGTTCACATCACATTATCGACAAAAGATTGTCAAGAGGAGCAGTCGATTTGATCAAGCCAATGTCGATTCGTTACCAAGAGTGGAACTCAAGCCAAATCGAAACACTCTTAGAAAAGTTTCGCACTCTTTACAATGGGAAAAAACGCTTCAACTTCGACGATCCATGGGACTTATCTGATGGCTTATGTTCGACTTACCCGACAAGAGAACGGTTTCTCGAGTCATCAACAGTACCCGACAAGCGTTAAAGGTATCTTTCACTCCATTTAACTTAGGCTTCGGTCATGTGACAAGACAGCGCATCATCGACCAGCACACAACAACGATATCGCAATAGTTGATGTGCGATGGTGGCAAGGACACCGCTATTCTCGTTTTGGATGGAACTTACATCTACATTCGAGTAAGCATATATCTGTACATTTGGTTCCCAAACGTCTCTCTGTTTCTAGAAGTATCAGAACAATGCGTTCCAGTGAAAGTCATTCAATACTCACAAGAAGCGGTCTCTACTGAAACCAATGATGATCGTATCAACGACTGGTTATATCGTGGCATGCATTGGTTCTTTCCTCTCCGATTTCTCCCACAACGATGCTTCGATAATCAAGAACGTTCTTCTCGAAAACATGGACAAGATGTTGGAATGGATTGAAGAGGTAGACCATGAAATTCGGAATGGGATGATCTTGACTCACATTTTTCTAGAATGACATCGTCGTAGTTGATAGAGGATTTCGTGACGCAAAGCCTTGGTTTAGACGTCGTCATGCCGCCTTTCTTGGATAATCGGCGACAATTCACGATTCAACAGTCGAACGAATCTAGATGCATCACCAAGATTCGATGGATTGCTGAAGCGGTGAATCGACGCATCAAGGAATTCAAATACTTCGCGAACACCGTTCAAAACTCATCACTGATGTATTCGCAAGATGATCTCTCAATCACTTGTGCGTTGATTAACTACTATCGCCCGCCGACGTAAAGAGAGAAATGAGATCCCTCATTACGAAGAAAAATAGGATCGAAAGAGTGAGATTTCAATTAACTTCTCCGATGAAACACCGATGTATTTCTTTTCCAGCTGCTGAACGACAACAATCTGATGAGACGACCCTCTGCATGGGAAACAATTGATCACACAGACATCATTGATGATTTTCCGACACTATCCGAAGAAGATATCGGTAACATCATTTTCGGTAGCCACTGTTCAATGAAAGCTTCTACATCTATATCGGCGTTTTTTTTCAGGTGCATTTCAACTGAAATGTGCTCCATCGTACGCCGCGGAAAAAGCTGGTATCAACGACTTAACTGCAGCTGTTCCATACAGTATTCAAAGGTGTCGATCATTCCCCAACCTTATCCGAGCTCTAACTCATTCGGCTCATAGTCAGCGGCGAAGCTACTATCCTACGATTCAACTCTCGTCAGATGGATTTCTTGGCTAGTGATGCGATTGTCCAGTGGGTAATCGAGTCCTCGGGTGCTGTAGTCACGTTTTGTCAGTGATCTGGTTTCTCTGTCATCGACGATGGAAGTCGAACAGCCGATGACGAAAGCGCTACAACCGACCGATNTCGGATATTCTAATTAAGTATCAATATAATTGTGCAGATTATGCGTGGTTACATCGAAAAACAAAACCAAGAAAACACGATAGGCAATATCCGATACAATGAGAGAAAAAGAACAATTATTGCAATGATTAACATACATGTAAACAAAAAGCTAAACAAAATGTACACAAATGAATAACTATTTTAAGATAATTTCAAACCATAATACGTTTTATATGCTTGCGATAACACTTGACTCTTAGTACAGTTTCGATTTATACATGTTTAAAAAGTGAAAGAGGTACATTCTCGCTTTGTCTTTCTGTCAAGTTCATCTAGACGTTTCAGTTCAGCGTCTTGAGCAAGAGAAGGTCGGACTTGTAGAATTTTCATGTCAAAAGGTCGAAGAATGGCCACATCGTCCCCTATCTTTACTCTACTTAGTGGTACATATACTGACGCCACTTGCAATGTTCCTAATGGAACTTGAAGATCGACTACGATTTTGTTCATTGTGAGTCCTAGCACCTTATATGTAGTTATTGCGAAGGCAGGTACAATTGGCAGTTGCGTTCGTGTAACTTGAATCAATTGTGGAACTTTTTTCTCACTTTGCACTCGATCAAGTAGACGTCCAAAGAGTTGCTTTATAGGAACAGTGAACTGCTTTTTGACTAATGGAATAGGAATTAGTTTAGGACGAAGTCCATCAAGATTTGTTTCTGCTTGTGATGTATTAATTTCTACGAGAGCATATAATGGCTTTCGTATGTAGATCGTATTTGAGGGAAATACTTCGTTTTTTATCTTTAAATCGCTCGGATCCTCTTGATCATCGTATATAAGCTCTCGAAAAATTCCTTGAGTACCATTCGTAAGCCCTAGTTCACACGCAATGTTATCGGTGAGAAGTACAGGCATGTTTGGTACCAAAGGTAAGAGACCAGGAAGAAGTTCAGTCTTGTTGTCAGGTATATGAGATTATTTCAAAATTCGTTTATGAAGATCAGTTATTGATTATTACGTCACTAGACATTGAACAACGTTTTATTTATCATACTGATACGCTTTGACTATAGCCGATATGTTATGTTTACATATTTTTTCCGAAAATCGATACTCTTTGTTTCAAAAAACTAAAATTATATTCGAGTTCCTCGATCCAAAAAGCCTTTTGGTCAAGTTTTATTGATAATAGTAATTTTTACTAATAAGCTACTACTAAATTAGTAGCAGTTACTAAGCAGTGAAAACTAATATCAGATTTGAAGTCTCCACATCAAAATATCTCTGAATATATCTTTCCCGAAAAATCGATTTTGGATGTTTTTTTGACCCTGCGGACACACAAGCAAGCAAGCAAGCAAGCAAGCAATCAGACAATTTATGTTTATTGGACTCTTCTCTACGAGAAAGAGAATAATCGACCGCTGAAGATAAAACTGAATTTATTATGATCTTTTCGATTTGATCTTTTTAACATTTAACGACATCTATAATAACCAATTAAATCCTTTCAGCTACTATTGAGTCATTTTCTTCGGTATTGACTCTGATTCTTTGAATCCTTCTACTCAAGATTAACCATTGTAGTTGCTAACTGTCCTCTAAATATATGTTTATCCTGCTAATAGTCATTTTTTTAATATTCCATCTCGCCATATAGAAACAGAAAAACAACTGATTTTCTTCTCTGAAATTCAGATGAAAAATATAATGACGAGAGATATCGTGATCTTTATATTTGTGATATTATCATTAGCAATAAATGCAGTTTTTTCAGCACCAAATATTTTCTGTCGAAGCACAATAACAAATTCCAATTGCGAAGTTTGTTAAAAATAAAGAATAAGAAGATTTATTCTAAGAAATATTTTTCTTAGAGTGAATTAGAAGTATTTGTCAATCGACTTGTCTCAATGGATACGATTTTATCTTATGAATATTCTTAGTGAGTATGAAGAAAATAATAAGGATTATTTTTTGTTTTTCATTTCTCCTTCCTCTTCTCTTTTTTCTTTAGTTTTCCGTTCTGTAAAGCGAACAACGAATTATTATCATTTGAAAATCTTGGACAAGTTCTTCTTCATGATCGTCTTTATTCATCACCATACAAAGTTTATTAGATATTCATCGTGATAATTTCTTAATTGAAATGATTTTTTTTATCTAGTTCACGTTTCTAAAAAATGAGGAATGTCATCATGTATGTACAGCATCGTCGGTCACAAGTAATAATCAAACATCAAATATGTTAGAGCGATTAATGAAAGGTGTAACTTTAAATTATCAACAGAATTGGTTTGTTGATAATATACCTGTGACATTATGTTATCATAATATGGATAATGAAGAATATTGTTCTCGTGGATTTCCCATTGGTTGTTATGTAAACAAAAATGGCCAATCAAGAGAATCATGTAATATTAGAGATGGAAAAAATGATACATTTTATATTTTTAATCATTTGGATTTTGAAATAACTTATCATAGCGGAGAAGGTAAAATAGTTAAGAGAATTTTATTTTATTTTAATATTATTTTATTCAGGTGAAACATGGGGAGTTGCATTTGACGCAGATGGAGGTCAAATAATTTCAATTAAAGTTCAAGTGAATAGGTATATTCAAATAAAAGAAAATCATTTTATAATGAAATTTTAATTATTTCTCATAGTCTAAATTCGGATTCATGTAATCGTTTGGCTGATCCAGTTATGTTTCAATCGACAAGTAAAGATGTTACGATTCCATATACATATAGTGTAAAATTTGTGAAAAATAATGAAATTCTTTGGAGTAATCGGTGGAATTATATTCTTAAATCAATAACAAATTCGCGTATTCAATCGTTTTCACTTATAAATTCATTGATTCTTATCTTATTTCTTTCTGTCTGTATTGCTGTGATACTTAAACGGATTTTATATCAAGAAATTCCACATTGTTATCAAACACCTGATGAAGTAAGTGAACAAAAAAAGCGTTACGATTAATATCTTTAATTTTATATAGATATATATAGAAAAAGAAATGAGATGGATATTGTAAGTTATTTTAGTTAGAGTATAAATGCTTTATTCTTATAAATCTATTCATATCATAATAGAATTGCTGGTGATGTATTCCGATTTCCAAAAAAACACAATGCTTTTATCTGTTTTAACCGGATAATGTATTCATTAGAATATAACAAATTATTAAACCTGAATAAATCAATCTAATTATTATGATAATATATTAAAACAAAAA